ACACACACACACACACACACACACACACACACAAATGAAGGAAACATCAGACAGGCTGGTAAGTTCTTACTTATCTGCAAGGCTGTATTATCAGGCAGACATTAAGCCAGATCAATGCGTGGAGTAATAGGATGTCTTAATTGGAAACTAGAAATACCAAAAACCTATGTTGAAGTCTCTGGGAGAAGCTACTTACGTTTGGTGCAGACAATTTGGGGCCTGTCCCACTTGCCATTGCTCCGGCATCGAATGGTGGCCACATGGTGCTGGGCAAATCCTTCATTGCACTGGTACCTTACAGTGGCATGGACATTGTACTTGGCCTTGCGGGTACCGATGAGTGAGGCATTCTCCACTGCTGGAGGGGGACCACAGAGCACTGGGACAGAGGAATCTCCGGTGAGAGAGGTGCTCACATCTGGGCTAAACTAGTTGTTGTTGTATGAGACAGAGTTTTGCTCTGTCACCTAGGCTGGAGTGCAGTGACGCACTCTTGCCTCACTGCAACCTCCGCCTCTCTGGTTCAAGCGATTCTCCTGCCTCAGCCTTCCAAGTAGCTGGGATTATGGGCACCAGCCTGTAATCCACACCTGGCTAATTTTTGTATATATTTTTTCTTGTTTTCAGACAGGGTCTCACTCTGTCTCCCAGACTGGAGTGCAGTGGCGTGATCTTGGCTCACTGCAACCCCTGCCTCCCATACTCAAGTGATTCTCCTGCCTCAACCTCCCGAGGAGCTGGGATTACAGACATGCACCACCATGCCTGGTTAATTTTTGTATTTTTGGTAGAGACCTGATTTCGTCATGTTGGCCAGGCTGGTCTTGAACTCCTGACCTCAGATGATCTGCCCAGCTTGGCCTCCCAAAGTGCTGGGATAACAGGTGTGAGTCACTGTGCCTGGTTCTTGTTGTTTTTAAAAGAGGGTCTTCCTCTGTCGCCCAGGCTGGAGTGCAGTGGCACAATCACAGCTCACTGCAGCCTCAACCTCCCAGGCTCAAGGGACCCTCCCAACTCAGCCTCTCAAGTAGTTGAGACTACAGGTGCACACCACCAAGCCTAGTTAATTTTTTGATTTTTTGTAACGATGGGGTCCCACTATGTTGCCCGGGCTGATTTTGAACCCATGGGCTCAAGCGATCCTCCCTCCTCGGCCTCCCAAAGTGCTGGGATGACAGGCATGAGCCACCATGCCTGGTGGCCGTAAACTTGTTTTGAGTTTTATTGGAAATGATACCTGCCTCAGCACGTCAACAGGTCTTTGCCCAGTTCTGATCTCACAGGGCTGGAAGTGACTGTGTCTGTCTGTCTCTTCTACCCAAATCAGCAGCTCCTTAGGGACAGCAACCTCCTGGCACACCTCACTATCTAATTCTTAGGTAGTGCACAATGGGAGTGAAGGAGACAGAAGGCAAGAATAATTATCTAAGCAAATAAAAGGCTGGGTGCGGCAGCTCACACCTGTAATGCCAGCACTTTGGGAGGCTGAGACGGAAGGATTGCTTCAGTCCAGGAGTTTGAGACCAGCCTGGGCAACACAGCAAAACTCCTGTCTCTACAAAAAAATTTAAAAATAAGGTCTGGGTGTGGTGGCTCATGCCTGTAATCCCAGCACTTTGGGAGGCCGAGGTGGGCAGATCACAAGGTCAGGAGATCGAGACCATCCTGGCTAATACGGTGAAACCCCAAAATACAAAAAATTAGCCAGGTGTGGTGGTGGGCGCCTGTAGTCCCAACTGCTGGGAGGCTAAGGCAGGAGAATGGCGTGAACCTGGGAGGCAGAGCTTGCAGTGAGCCAAGATCGCACCACTGCACTCCAGCCTGGGCGACAGAGCGAGACTCCGTCTCATAAATAAATAAATAAATAAATAAGCCAGGCATGGTGGTGTGCACCCATAGTCCCAGCCTCTGGTAAGACTGAGGTAGGAGGGTTACTTGAGCCCTGGAGTTCAAGTGATCTGCAGTGAGCCGTGATAATGCCACTGTACTCCAGCCTGGGCAACATCGCAAGACCCTGTTACAAAACTAAATACATGAATAAATGGGGAGGGGGGAGGATGTGAAAACTGACAAAGAAATGGAAGCAAACACGAACAAAAGTATAAGAGAAAGGTGGACATACAAATGTATACAAATGATTTCTTTCATATATAAAGATCTCTTAAAAATCAGCAAGATCAAGTCAGTTCATAGGGAAAGACATACACGCCAACAGCCTGTCAACATACAAACAGTTGGTTAGGCCAGGCATGGTGGCTCACACCTGTAACCCCAGAACTTTGGGAGGCTGAGGCGGGCAGACTACTTAAGGTCAGAAGTTTGAGACCAGCCTGGTCAACATGGTGAAACCCCATCTCCACTAAAAATAAAAAAAAAAAAATTAACCAGGTATGGTGTGTGCCCATAATCCCAGCTACTCGGGAGGCTGAGGCAGGAGAATCGCTTGAACCTGGGAGGCGGAGGTTGCAGTGAGCTGAGACTGTAACACTGCACTCCAGCTTGGATGACAGAGTGAGACTCCATCTCAAACAAACAAACAAAAAACAATTGGTTATTCTCATCCTTAAAGGCATGCAAACTAAGATAACAATGAGACACTATCTTCCTCACTTAGATGAACAAAGAACAAAAGTTTGAGAATGTGCAGAGTTGGCAAGGGTGGGAGGAAACAAGCACTCTCACACGCTGATGGAAAGTGAGAACTGGCTGGGCTGACATTTACCAACTTAAAAAGATGAAAGCCGGGTATGGTGGCTCACGCTTGTAATCCCTGCCCTTTGGGAGGCCGAGGTGGGTGGATCACCTGAGGTCAGGAGTTCGAGACCACCCTGCCCGACATGGCAAAACCCCCATCTCTACTAATAATATAAAAATCAGCTGGGCGTGATGGCATACGCCTGTAATACCAGCTTCTCGGGAGCCTGAGGCAGGAGAATCACTTGAACCTGGGAGGTGGAGGTTAAAGTGAGCTGAAATCATGCCACCGCACTCTAGCCTGGGCAACAAGAGTAACACTGTCTCCAAAAACGTAAATAAATAAATAAAAATAAAATAAGAATACATTTAAAAATATATATATAATGCCACCCACCTCGGCCTCCCAAAGTGTTGGGATTATAGATGTTAGCCACCCCGCATGGCCTATTTCCAGAACTTTTTCATCACGACACACCAAAATTCTGTATCCATTGGGCAGTAGTGACTCCCTCTTCTCCCGACCCCTGTCCCCTGGCAAACACTAATCTACTTCCTCTATCTAAATTTGCCTACTCTGAATGCTTCATGAAAAAGAAAAATGAATCAAGCCTGGGCACAATGGCTTATGCATATGATCTCAGCACTTTGAGAGGCTGAGGCAGGCAGATTACTTGAGCCCAGGAGTTTAAGACCAGCGTGGGCAACATGGCAAAACCCCATCTCTACAAAAAAATACAAAAATTATCTGGGCATGTTGGTGCATGCCTATAGTCCCAGCTACATGGGAGGCTGAGGCAGGAGGATCGCTTGAGCCCAGGAGGTGGAGGCTGTGATGAGCCATGATTATACCACTGCATTCCAGCCAGGGCAACAGAGAACCAGTGAGCAAAAGTGACAGAGAGGAAAAGGAGCAGGGGGCACCGCATACCTGTGCCCTTCTTGCAGACATAGGGTAGGTTGTAGTTGCAGGGGACATCGTTCCAGCGCCCGCTTTCATGTGCCACCATCACCACACAGTCCTCGCCACCCGCAAAGAAATTGTCCGGCTGGTTCTCTCGCCAGTTCTCGAATTGCTGCAGGAATAGGGGG